TTCGCATCCAGACGAAGCCGCGAGTAGAAAATCTCTGGAGCTTCACAAAGGGATCAAATCCTTAAGTAACAAAAAATAAAAATTCTGTGAACCAATGGCCGAACCATTTCAGATTTCAGCCGGCGGACTTTTTATTTATTCCCTCACAGTGTATTGGTGATCCTATTTGTCCTTTGACAACCAGCTATATTATCAGTAATACGTTTGCCCATTAGGTACTTGGCGACCGTTTTGGTTTTTTTTGCACCTCAGGATCCTCAGGTGTCCCAGAAACCAAAAACACGAACATAATAACGTTCAAGACGTCTATGTCAGGAAAAACTACTTAAAACGTACACTTCTTAAGAAAAATTTTAGCCACTACGTCAAATTTTGAGATTTGCAACATATATTGCAATTTCACATATTTTGTATACAATCTAAATTGCATTCCTATTGCTAAAATCATAAACGTTTCATGAATGTTAAAAGAATACCAGAAAATTCCGATTACTTCCGAAGATATGCTAGGAAAACCGAAATTTGCCGATGTTTTTATTTTTTTCTGATCTTATTTGAACAGATAGAGAAGGATTAAAAAAAAACACTTTTTCATTGCTTCTATTTGAGCTCTACAAGACAGAGTGGAAAGATTATCAATACAACGTTTCGCTTCGGAGAAACTTTTTATTACGAATACGACGAGGCACACAAGAAATAGAAGTTCGAAACTGGTTCAACAGGATCGTGCACCCGCGTACAACGTCCTAATCGTGCGAGAATAACTGTCGAACAAATTTTCTGGAAAATTTGAGGTATTCTCGCAGTTTTTCACATCTTGTAACGTACCCAGGCCAGCCTCGAGAGATTGCGCAACTCAAGATTTAAAATCAAAACTTACCCTCCCAAACTAGCTGAACTCCATGGCATGCTACCTAACCCGAGACTTAACCTGAACAACAAAATACTAGGACCAAGCAAGAATAAATTTTGAAAATGGTAGTTCACCAAGTAAAGGTAGGCTGGGAAAAAAAGAACTCCCCAAGAAAAAAACATGCTAACAAATTAAAATTAGACTTTATAAAAAATTTAATGGTTTATAATGACTTGAATTGGCAAGTAAATTTGGAAAATGTCGAATCATAGGCGCCACTGGAATTCTTAAAAATTAATATTTGACACACACAACATAAAAAGAACCAGCATGTCAACTAAACGAAACGATTAGCAATATCAGAAAGGTGGCTTATATAAATATATCTTTGTAGTATGTCAGACGTACTATGCACTTTTAAGGTTTAATTTGCTACGTCAAAGCGAAATTTCGTATGGAAATAAAATATATCACAAATTCGCCCTGGTAAATATCATTCGTCATTACCCGATTCAAATAAACAGAGCAAGGAATATTATGTTAATTAACTTTACAACAAAACAAAAAAACGTGACGTGGAAGAAAATTAGCAAGATGCTGCCAGAAATTCAATTATTTATAAATAAACAATATATTATAGATGTTCTAAACTGCACCGCGATCAGCGAACAGCTATAAAATTAATTTTGCCGTTGAATTCTGCACACTCGTCTTATATATCATCCATAAGCGAACATACTGTATCTAAATAGAAATAGAAACACCTGCAAATAAAGGCGAGTTTGCCTACGAAGGAATTTTTATTGAGGTTTGGTGCGTAAAACCAGTTGTTCGAATAGAGCAGAGTACTCGTTTACCTATAGCTAGTGATGTGCAATTATTATATAAATATTACATGTATTTTATGTAATTTATGTAATTTACCATTAAAAAAAAAACGTAATTTTACAGTAAAATCACCAGTAATTTATGTTTTTTACGTAATTTACAAATATTTTTGTAAAATTACCTGGCATTTATGTTTTTTATGTTTTTTTTAATATTCCATAAACCTTTTTGAATTTTGTGAGTGTTTGAAAACAAAAGCACTTGTTAAATTATATATTTTGGTGTATTAAATAAAATACCAAAGCAGTAGGTATTTCGCCATCACGCGTCGTTTGGAAGCAGGTCCAGATTGCGAATTAGATGCTGTATCATCTTCAGTAAACCAAAGAGTAAACCAAACTAGATTCAACGGTGAATCGCTTACGTTGGTAGTACCGTTGATGGTCTGTGGTAGTACCGATCAAAATGTACCAAATAGGTATTACCTACATTTATGTAAATTTACAAAAATTACGGTTTTTTAAATAAAAAACGTAGTTACGTAAATTTCATATAAGGCACAAACTACATTAAAAAACCGACCTCTTGTAAGTTACGCGTAATATAACAGTTTTTTATGTAACTTACAAATCATTATTTTACAATCCACATCACTACCTACAGCGATAACCGTAAATTAGGATACAAACTTATTTACGTAGAAAAATACAATGAGCTCTTGCTGTATGAGTAATTAATTATAAGTATGATCACCATAATTATAAAAGTACAAAAGACGGGTGTGATTAGTTGTAAGTAACAATAATCCCCTTACCCAAAGCATCCTGCACGATGACATTCATTTAGCACCCTGTTCTTGGATAAAGACATCATTAGAATATGCCAACACTATAAGACTAGAACATTCGTGCATGAGTCGAGCCACGCTGGTAACATAATGGAAAGTGCCAAATCGGTGACATTTTATTATGGTACTGGTTATGCCCAGTTTCAATCTCAATTCGGTTCATAAATGGTCGAGAGCCCAAAAGGGCGCTGTGAAGGTTGAATCGATTAGACTAAATTTGTGGCATTCCGTACTATATCGTTAAAGCTATATACCCAATTTGAATTTCATGCAATTCGGTTCATAACTAACGGAGATGTCAAACTTATTTTTTTTTTGCGTACACTGCCAATTCACGAACTTCGATCTACAAATTTGATAAACAATCCATTTGTCAAGTTTCATCGTAATCGTCCTATTCGTTTGGTTTTCATTCAATGGACATGAAGCCGTTGAGCGGTCGAGCGCCAGCCGGACGATTGGGAAAAAACATAAGCGTTTCGCTTACCAACTACCTAACAAATTTATTGTGGTTGATTTTGAGAAATGTGCTAAAGATAAAGTAATTGCCAATGTAAGTATGTCGGTATATGTTTCATGCAACGCATTTTTGTTATAGCGTTTTTACTGGACTTTCTATTATTTTTATGGGAGCCATGTTTTGTAAATATTTATATAAGACGGTATGTATTTGTGATTTTAAATGGGCGTTTTCCTAATACCAGTGCAATTCAGGAATGCAACAGAACATTTAAAATATGCTTTTCTACAATCACATTATATAATTTCATGCATGGACAAATATCAAATCTCAGGAGCAGCATTAAATTATGAAAGCTGCGGAACTAGCTGACTATTTTTAACTTTCTGAGCCCCAATTTCGTGCCCCACCGGTAGGTTCCTCCCGTAACCACAGATGTACTTGGTCGTACATCCGGATTACAGGCTACTTAACAGCAGCAAGAGACTAGGATTCATGTTTGCAGCTGCAATGGAACTTCTGAGAGGGTACTAATTACCGGTACCGCTGCTGGAATGCGCGATCGAATCTGTGCACGAAAAATCGCTAGCAAGCTGCATGTTGAATTGGATTTCTGGCACATTTTGACAAAACCCACTCTACACCTGCAATTCGCCCCGGATGTTGACTCGCTGCCCACATCATATAGTAGTACTAGTTATTCATCACTTTCAACTTCCGATGCAGCTCTTGTGAGGAATATACGATATAGCCAAATCGATCCGCTCTCCAATAATTTTCACTGCTACCAAGGAATTTTTCGATCTGTTGATAGCTGGCAATTCCGAAACTGGAAGCAATGGGCGATGAATCAGAAACGGAAGACCGTGAGGAGACTTCAAAGATTTTTGGAAGTAAACCCGTTCCATATGCATGCACTCCAATAAGAAGTACATTACAATTACATAACAAGTGTCACAAATTGTGACTAAATGGGAAGAATAAAAAACGGAGAATGGAACCGATTCAACCCCACTCGCTCTTAGGAAGGTTCTGGCCAAACTAGTATGTTCATGGACTCAGTTTGTATCCAAATATCCCGTATATTGAATAGATGCCGAATGAAAAGACCGTAAATCAGTCGCATTTTGTTTATTGGAGAGTAGTTAACCCTGGACACAAAGGTGGAAGAAAAATTATCACAGTTAAAATATAGATAATAACTTTAGGAGGGGTCCTGTGGCTATTCCCATCTTCAAGACAAGCAGATTTTTTCTATCCTTCCAAAAATGCCTGAACAGCTCTTCCTTTTTTCCACTACTCTGTCTTTCTCTCTCTTCTTTTACTAAACATGCCTTTCTTATCATAAACTGAACACTACAAAAAACTGAGTGTAAATTGCTTGTTCGTATTCCTACCATTACATCGTAAGATGGTCATTAAAACAAAGTGTCGCTTAGTATAGTGTTTGCTAGCATGTAGCGTTACCAATGTGCCAACTTTTTGCCTTTTTATGCTAATACCTTTTCTAGATGTTGCCTCGAATAAAGAAGATGCAAGAGATGGGTGTTAAATTGATGTGCTTGTGTAATATATCTATATTTATGGTGATGGGCAAACGCAACGACCATTACAACGTATTTTCGAACCTTAATGCGTTGTCTCTCGTAGCGTGTCTTCGGCATTGTTCCAACGTCGTGATATCGCGTTGGAAAATTAACCGTTTAGACTAGTTACGATTGACATTGGGGTCGAACTGTGTACATTTGCTTCCTGTACTGCTGGTTTTGTTTAAAAGAATTAACGTCATTTTTAATCACTTTCGCTTGTTTGTGTCTTTCAATGTTTCTTATTAATTATTATCGTTGGCACATTTCTTCACTTTCTTTTTATTTCTTTATTAACAACGCACTAACTGTAAGGATGCGAAAATGGAGGTGCGCGAAAGGAAAACCAGATTAGCGAAGGCTAATCTGTTTTTCACTTCGTGGAATGTACAGATCAACAATTATTATTTAATTGGTCAATTGCAGGTAATCGCCATCGTTTCCATCTTGTTCATTGTGGTATCGACCGTCGCGCTTACGCTGAACACAATTCCTAGCATGCAGGTTTACGATGATCGAGGAGTCGCCCAAGATAATCCTCAACTGGCGATGGTAGAGGTTGTCTGCATAACGTGGTTTTCTCTCGAGTACATCCTGAGGTTTAGCGCTTCGCCAAATAAATGGAAATTTTTCAAGGGCGGCCTCAACGTGATTGACTTGTTAGCCATATTGCCTTATTTTGTGTCGCTGTTTTTGTTGGAGACTAATAAAAACGCCAACGATCAATTTCAAGACGTACGAAGAGTAGTTCAGGTGTTTAGGATAATGCGAATCTTGAGAATTCTAAAGTTGGCCCGCCACTCGACCGGTCTCCAGTCCCTCGGGTTTACCTTACGTAATTCCTATAAGGAGTTGGGTCTGCTTATGCTCTTCCTCGCTATGGGCGTGCTGATATTTTCGAGTCTGGCCTACTTTGCCGAAAAAGAGGAACCGGGAACTAAGTTTATTAGTATACCTGAGACGTTTTGGTGGGCCGGAATTACGATGACCACCGTTGGCTACGGAGATATCTACCCCACCACCGCTTTGGGGAAAGTTATAGGAAGCGTATGTTGCATATGCGGGGTCTTGGTGATTGCGTTGCCCATTCCCATCATTGTTAATAATTTTGCCGAATTCTATAAAAATCAAATGCGAAGAGAAAAGGCCCTGAAACGTCGAGAGGCGCTAGAGCGAGCCAAGCGCGAGGGCAGTATCGTTTCCTTTCATCACATTAATCTGAGGGACGCCTTCGCCAAAAGCATGGATCTCATTGACGTCATCGTTGATACAGGTAGGATGCATGATATCGCCGTTGCATGAAAGGTTTTTCAAAGGTACACATTCACATAGTCAGGAGGATTCGCAACAGTAATATGCAAAATAGTGCATTTAGCGATACCAACATCATTCTAGACATTTTGGTGTAAACGCATCAAAATATATTGAAAAATAAGCGATTTATTAGGCAATTTTACTTTCATTCTTGTCTAGGATTCCTCCTAGAATCATCTCTCCAAGAAAGCGCCTGTGTAATAATAAATCGTACTTATTTTCTTATTTTATTTTCATAAAGATCGTCTCACAGATCTTTATCAAATACCTAAGATTTATAAGTTCTTAAAAATATTTTTAGAAATCTTGGGATTATTTGGTTCTTTCAAAATTCCTAAAACCTAGAGCCCGGCCTAGGAATCTGCCAGGATATTCTTTGAGTCTTTAGAAGTCATCTTAGTAATCCTTTAGAAACGCTACTAATTATATTTAGGAAACTTCTTTGACTTTTTAAAAAATATCATAAATAATAATATATTCTTATCTTATTGGAATTCATTTCTCCATATCTTGCTAGAAATCATACAAAATCTTTTCGAGATCTTCTTATACATTTTTGAGATCTCGATAAAGGTTGCAAGGTTAACAATAGCATCTCCATTCCTGAAATTGTGATCGAATTCTGTCTGCAAAGTTAACAATAGAATACCAAGATTAGATTTTAGACTCCATATTTTGCTTGAAGTTTAGAAGTCAAACTCAACCCTTCTCAACCACTAAAAAATCTCTACTAACAGAGGTGGATTTATGTGCCTCTCCCCCTCACTACCATGATTTTATTATTTTTTTAATGTTTCTAATATTTTTTTATATTAATACTATTACCATAGCGTTACTTTTCTAACTAATTTTAAGCTTGCCGTTCTAAAATAAGCGCTCCTGACACTCCTTTCGAATCGCTCACGTGACTTTTCCAACTCCTCGCCAAGAATGTTATGCGCAAACGCTCATTTTCGCCCTCTTACTGCCAACGGGAGGTGCTACTGGAATTTTTGACCGCGCATCTTGTGGCTCTAATCGAGGTCTAGAATCGCGCAATTGTACCTTTTCCGTAACTCTAAGGGTTTCGCCTCCAAGAGGCCTAAGAGTGGCAAAATGTAAAAACCACTCCCTCAAAATGTTCGAGGAAATCGCTAGTACGAGCATTCCAGTTACCATTTATTTCAATGTTTGCCCTCTTACGGCAGTCACAACACCTCGTTGTAAATTGGACCTCTCCCTCCTCTCCACTCTGTACTTCGTATCTCCGCCTCTCAGGGGAATTTCCAAAATATCGTTCTCTCTTTAAATATACCTTTTCGCGCCCACCAACAAAATTTCAAAAAAATGGTAACATTTAAGTAAAAATGATCAAAGTCCTAGTGTGATATCGAAAAGACTTCAAACGCATTTGTGTGTTGCAGATCAGTATTCTATTAGCAATTGTCGTTTGAAGTTCCCAGATAGCCGAAGATTGTACAGTGGATGTCCATTGGATGAATGATTTTGAGCCAGCGTACAACATACATTGAATATCTACATTTGGTACTAGTTTTGTCCACATTTGGTCCATATTTCAACAAATCGGATATCATACTTCCGTCCAATAATCGAGATCATATTTAAGTCCATTGATGAACGTCATATCTACGTCCACTGACGTCATATATTTGTCATAATTCCTTATGAAATGAAAAAATCCTTATAAATATTTTAAAGGAATTTATTGCTAAACCTGTGGACATTTTAATCAATTCACAAGTCATGTTTTATTCTTTCTGCGGAACGTCTTGACCATTTGGATCTCCAACTGTACATCTTTTTCTGTCGCTTGGCCATTCAAACGAACTCCACGAAGTGAGGCACCATCGCACCATGTCAAATGTAGCATTTGTTGTAATTTATTCAATCAAAGAAATTGTGGTTTCGTCTAATATTGGTTTCAAGGCGAGGAAACGACTATACGATGTCTCAAATTTACGTACGTAGGACGTCATTTTTGGTCCTTGGACGAATGTACAAATAGTGGACCATAAACGTACGTACATAAAACGTAAGGTGCTATCTGGGTTTTGACTTCACTATCAGTAAGATCTTGTCGGGGGTTACAACATTCCTTTTATCGGTACAGGGTTCCGCCGTCCTTTCGCCCGCAATTCACATTTGAAGCTTTGACTGAGCTATCGGTATCCACTTCCGACGTCCCGTTCACCCGCAATTCGCATTTTGGTGGATTTCGCTAAAACTCTCCACAAAATTGTACTCAGTTTTTGGGGCACTTTTCATAGCTCGAGCTTTTATTGGCGACACAAGAAACAGAGACCGCAGCGGAAAATAACCTGGGCGCCCGAAGTCGACGAGCCTTCGAAGCCGCGCGCCTTTCAAAAGATGGTTAATTTCGCTCCTAGGAAAAAAATCATAATTCCACCATGCCCGAGTTGTGCGTGTTTCCGACGACACCAATTTGAAAACAATCGGACCAAAACTATGGAAGAAAATAGAACTAAAAAATCACCACATTAATGTAATAGGCTCGGGGATGGCGCCCAGATGTCACCGACCCCACGTCATGTCGCCCCCTCCCTAAAGTTGTTAATTACGCGGCCCCGGTAAGTACATGTACACTCCTCATCTTTCTACAAACGTTCTTCTACGGCTTGCATTTGCTACCAGCCAGCCAGCCGGCAGGCCAAAGTGAGATTAAAAGCTATACCTTTTTACAAATAAATTTGCAAAAATACGCTAAAAAATTAATAATGAAAATCGAGCAACCTTAATTTCATATTCCTTACTTACCTTAATGTCAGTCAAGCTTGTGTTAAACTTATACCTGCATTTCCTATCCAACGCCATTCAAGTTAGTCTCAAATTTCCAACTTCTTCCCTTCAATTTCTCATGCAGTTTCAGGCTTCAGTTACCCCGATGTTTTTCTAAAGTTCGCCCTCACATTCCCATTCTCTAAATTTCTCCGTAATGTGTCTTTGGTTCATTTACCTTTCTCTAGTTATAATCAAATCTTGTTTGAACTATTGTCAATCTCTTCTTTTTTGTCCTTCAAAATCGCCACAAGTTCGCTTAGGCTTCTAATCGATTACTTTTAGGTATCGAAATTCCCTTCATGATCCCTTCACGCTTTGCTCAATTTCTTCTTAAACGTCTGTTATCCTCCTTGAAATTCTTTGTGTTGTCTCATCGTCTCTGTAACATTCTCTACACGATTCAGAGACCCTCTACCTTTTTTTTTCTTGTGAAGAGGTAAAATTCTCTCTAAAACCATTGTTCATATCAAAACTCCTCTTTAAAATTTCCCTTATCCTTTAAGTTCCACTCGTCCTCAAGTTCCTTTCAGTCGATTTTTGTTAAAAAAGGAAGGTTATACACTGCCTTTTTTTTGGCTCGAAAAAAAATTGTCTCAGATCGATCCGAAAAAAAAATTTTCTTATAGATTGAATCCATAATTTCCAACAGTTCCAAGATTGGGCTACTAGTTCAAAAGTTACAGCCCTTTGAATTTTCTTTCGAAATTTGTTTCTAGTCCATAACGTCCTCAAGTTCCTTTCAGTCGATTTTTGTTAAAAAAGGAAGGTTATACACTGCCTTTTTTTTGGCTCGAAAAAAAATTGTCTCAGATCGATCCGAAAAAAAAATTTTCTTATAGATTGAATCCATAATTTCCAACAGTTCCAAGATTGGGCTACTAGTTCAAAAGTTACAGCCCTTTGAATTTTCTTTCGAAATTTGTTTCTAGTCCATAACTTTTGATTGAGAAGTCTGATCGAAAAAGTACGAATTGTTTTGGATTCTACGCACCAAAATTAATAAGAAAAAGTGTTTTCCCGACAAATTTTGGTGCAGTCGATTTTTGGTAAAAAAGGAAGGTTGTACACTCCCTTTTTTTGAGCCCCGAAAAAAAAATTGTCTCAGATCGACCCGGAAAAAAAATTTTCTTATAGAACTATAGTTTCAGAAATTCTACAAACTTACTTGAAACCATTTTTTTAATGTTCTGAGCATTTTCCATTGAAACTACGTAAATTTTTGAAATGTTAGAATTTTCCTTTGAAACCGTCATGGAAATCTCGCTTTATAGGGCCATTGAATCTCAGAGCAAAGTCTTACTGCTACATTTTCCATAGGAAAATTCATTATATACAAATTAAATAAGGCTCCATCTACGTTAACATTATTTTGGAAAAAATGCCATTTAACAGTGTTCGTACCCCACAAACCACTTATTATACAAGCTGTTTTGCATTAACGGTACTTACCCATATATCACAACAACTTCCCATGGATGTATTCAGAATGTTCAGTCACGTCATGGTTCGGCGTCTATGAGAAAAATAATAAAAATTCAATCAGTCCGTTTTTAATTATAATCTTTTTTTTTACATTACCTCAATTAGAACGTTCCTTGAAGGTCTACATGAAGTAAATTAAGTAACAATGCATAGACGTCCTTTAATGTACGTTTCACAGATGTCCATTTAATGTACTGCGCGTAATGAGACACGCGAAAATTAGAAATTCTGGCTAGCAAATCATTTCATACTTAAGTAACTGGGATTTGGGGTTAGGAGAGCTTTTGTAATTTGTTGCCACCATGCACTTGAAAAATTGTATCTATTGATCAATGGCAATATATATGTTAGGTGTTTTATAAAAGATAATTTTTAAACGAAAACTGACCAGGATGTAGCGATATTGTAAAAGTAGGTATTTTCTTAAAGTTTAGTCCACTAAAGGACATCCATGGAATGGATATTTAAAATGGTACTGAAACGTTTCAGTTAGAACATCTAAAACGAACACCCGTTTTAGATCCATGGACAATGCACATTCATACAAATAATGGACCTAAAACGTACCTACGTCGGTTGCTATATGGGGAATGTGCAAAATTTTGAATTAGGCCGTATTCTGAAAGATATTTTGGAAAATATCGCGGTAAATTCGCTATTTGAACTTGTGAGGTCCCTAATTCCCATGTGAAAACCATTTGGGTCACACGTGGTATGATCGTATCCTCTAAATGCACAGTTTTGCGCGAATCCTCTTAATTAACGAGAAGGGAAGAGACTATATGCATTTCAGTTTCGCTAAAAGTGAGTTTGGACTTACATTCTTGGTTATAGTCGCTTTTCTTCATTATTATGGAGAAACAAACCATTAGCTACGGCATTCAAAATTTGATTTACTTGCTTGCGTGCCTTTCTCTCCACCGACTTGAGTCTAAAGACCATGTCTTCTTCCCCAGGTGACAAATGTGCTCTAATTGGTGGAAATGAAGGCAGAATCTCCTAAACACTGCGCTGTTGGAAACGCATGCCACGCTTACATCTCGACATTTTGTAGAATGCACTGTGCAAAAATTACTGTGTTCAACAATTTTAGTTCATGTTATCAGTTTACATCCCGTTTGCTTAATGCCGTCTTTAAAGTGTTGCTAATAGCGGAAGTGATCGTGTTGGGAACATGTTTCTAACACGATTAAGAGATGTTTTTCGGCGTCTTTTGCTTAAACAAGTGTCGTCGTTAGGCCACAACTTGTCACGTGTGGACGCTAACAGCGCAGAGGTGGAATCTGCAAGTATCCGTAATCCCACACAAACGGATAGCGGATATTATAGAAACTACGATCATTTACCTAATCGTCCGAGGCGAACCAACTCTTCCCAAATTCCTTGTCTTCCAACAAACGAGGGTCCGCCCATACCTTCGCCGCCGCCTCCGCGGAGACTACTAGAGCTGGAACCAGCAGAGGAACAGATCAATGTCGGAGCCGCGCCACTTGCTCAAGACGAAACAAAATTGCTACCCTACTCGCCCAAGGAATACCTATCGCCCGGGGTAAATTTTAACTTCTTTGAATTCCAGCAAAATCGGCTGAAGGCGCTCAAAGTACCTTCAGCTGATATGGATATTGGTAGCACTTGTAAATAGTTTGCATACTATACATAGCTATCGATTTCAGTTTACTTGTATGTGGATCGATAATGTTGCATTTGGTTGTTGTCGAATGTTTTACCCTTTAATCATTCTGTGTATTAAATTATGTCTAATCCTTCAGCTGTCGAGCAGCTCTCTTTCTACTAAAAAGTCTGTTTTTAGTGCAAATTGCAAATTCACCGACGTGCTCAAAAATAATTTAGGTTATAATACATAAATGTCAACTGAGATCGTTGCGAAAAAAAAATTAGGTCGATTGTATTCTACTGATCCATCTTGTAGGCTAACATCAAAAAGTCTGATGCCAACAAGAAGGTCGAGAGATTTGACGAAATACCTAACGAATTCGAATGTTGCTTTTGCACTTCAAAGGTAGTATTGATCCTTTTAATATTTTCTTGCCGATTGCTTAATGACTCATTGAGGCTTTTAGGGATTCATTTACTGTAAATAAAAAATGACCAGACATACAAATTATAGCTGCCACGTGCATTTTTTTCCTCATTTCTTGCCAGTACACGATGCATGTGCACGAGAGAATAAGGCAATCATGCTCTACTTTGCTTATATACTTAGAAATTAGTTAGATTTCTCCTGGAAGCATTAACTAACGTTTAAGTTTCCAGTGGCCGATAGACTCAGCACCTTTGTCATACAACATACACACCTTTCCTCCGCTTTAATTTTGATCTTTAATTTCCTTTTCATAGTTTTCATTCGTGTTGTGTCTAATAACTTCAAATCAAAGGGCTGAAAAAGCTCCTGGTTAAAAAAAGCACAGTCAGCAATAAACATATTTGAGTAGTACTGCGTTGCAGGATTGTAACGATGGAAGATGCCGAGGTGAATGTATTCCGCTTCATGCCAAAAATGTCTAGTAGAGTTTCCGTTGCCATTTCTACTTTCAAAGTGTTAATATCAGGTGAGTTACCAATCAGGGATTACTCTGGGTAAAAGCGAGAGTTTTCTTTTCTAAATTGGACCCTTTCCGCGTGAGATGCGTGGCTAATTAAACTGAGTAAATCGTGTGGCCTTGTTTTTTGTAATTGTCTATTGGTTATTAATATTGTTTTGTTTTCACAAGCCGACACTCATAAAGTAAAAAAAAATCAAAACAAAAATACATCTACACAAAACATGAAAAATGTGTCACGAAGGTTTGTAGAAAAGTACCTAATTTGAATTTTGCACGCAAGCTTGAATCTAAACACATGTGCACGTAGTTTAAATTAATGCCTCGTCCATGCACTGTTGTAGAATAGAATTTTTTGAACTTAAATGTATAGAGGTTACGTGTATTGAAATTTTGCCAAAGTAATTTGGGGGTAAATCTCTAAGTGTAGGACTTTCTGGAATATACTCACAGTTTTGACATAGATTTCCATTTAGGATTATAAGGAATTCGTCGACGCAGAAAACCTGATGCCATTAGGAACAAGTGATTTCCGAAACCCGGTTTGTTTAGAAATGAAAACGTTACGAAACGGAATGACCGACTTCGTGAATCCTTTTGGAGATTTTGACATTAATACCAAACCTGCTTTTCAAAATGCCATCAACAGTGCCGATATGGGTAGCATGGATAGCTCAGATACCTTTGCGAGTTGCAACACCCATCCCTACCACTCCCAAGGTGACCTAACTTCAAACGTAGCAGATCCCACGTGCGCGATTGATAGCAACCTGTACGTAAACCCTTTAGACAAAAGCGTAGATAATAGCCCCACAGCACCCCCACCCGGAATCAGCCTAATATCGGCCGTCAAAAAATCAGCGTCCGGAGACACCGGATTAAGAAGCTTGGGGACGACGCCAATTGAAGAAAGCTACAGAGGCTTCGGTGGCATTGACCGTGGAAGTCGGGTGAGTCTAAACGATTCGCCTCAACCCAAGCATAGAAAGACGCGTTTTCAACCGGTTAGTATAATCATCGACGCGACCATTGCTCAACCCTCAACTTGCAGACTAATCGACAAAGAACACGATTCGGTAATGCATTTGAACGCCAGTCCCAAGAGAGCTTAGAAGGTAAACGTAATTCCAAAAAGTCCTTCATGACGAGCAAAGGTTTTGCATCAGCCAGCAGAATACTAAATCAGCACCTCTTCGGTTTGCACGCGCTCAGCGGATCGAGATCAGGTAACTACCATGACTTATAATTTCAAAATCTCGCCATTATAAAATCTGTAGGAAAAAATGGCGACAGCAAATCTTCCCTATCCGTAGATTCCATGGACAGTCGCACCAGTTCGCCAATGGAACACCATCGTCGCTCAAAGTCGATTTTAAAGAAATCGGATGGAAGCTCGCACAAAAACGGGGACCCCGAAAGTGAACGACTCATATCGGATAGCACCTCGGGTATTGATGTTGGGTCGGGCAGCGAGTACTCATCACCCAGTAAACGCCTATCGTCGCCGCCCGTTAAACACCGACCCCATCAGAAACTCACAAGATCTCTTCCTTTATCCGGTCAGGCCGACTATGATAGAAACCGAACTTTAAAATCACCTTTGTTTTTACTTGATGATATTATTAGTAAAGATAGACAAAATGACTATGTGATAGATAAACTGAAAGAGTGTAGTGGTAGTGTACGTGACTTACCTTTATACATATGTCCACCGCCACCACCAATGGATCATTCCCCCACCGAAGAAACGAGGTTACTTTTACATACGCCGACTCCAGTTGTTGTTTCTACACCAAGACAAGCTAATTATCTTTCAAAAGGACCTGATCCGTCCTCGTAGCAATTACAGGTGAGTCCCAAAAAACGACCTAAACTATCTAGTTTAGTTATCGAATCGGCCGCTGCAAAGGAGAAATTAACCCGTCCTGATCATTGGTTCTAAAACTTTAACTTCTCGGAAAAGCTTATCTCAAAAAACTTTGGACGGGTTTTGTATAGGTACTAGCAGAATAGAAATCCTGGAAAGGATAAAATAGTCTCTGGTGTCTTCGTGAATTCTATTGATTTAGAAGTCAGATTCAAAAAACGAAGTGTGTGAAAAAGGGAGGTGAGCGGGTACTTAAATCTTATTGAAAATTAGATTATGGATGCAACTATTGCAGTAACAAAAGTACTTGCGGCTATTAGATACCAGAAACAAAGATCATACTACACTAGATAGACAACGCTTGTATGAATTTCAGTCACTCACTCAGAGTAAGTCGGCTTGCCCGTAGGAGCTATATACAGTACGTTCGAGATAATAGGATCACCCCAATATCTTTTATTTGGCATGATACGAAAAATGTTTCAAATATCATTTTATATATCCGATCGCATATTGAAACTTTCGGTTCCATAGGAAATCAAAGCAACTTTTGTTTTTTTTTCAAATGCAATGACTATGTTTTTTTAAGATCTTTGAAAAGAGCAATCAATTTGCTGTACGACATAAAATCTGCATATGGTTGATAAAAAAAAATTACAAACGTGATTCAATATTTAGAAAACTTATGACATCTAGCATACCGTGTGCTGCCAGGAAGCGCGGTATCTGTTGTGTCACACGGGGAGATCTAAGAGCATTTTGTTTAAGTATTCCACGTTACTCATACTATTCTTTTGTTTTTAATAATGTAATTTGTTGAAGACTATACAAAATCGACTTTATCTCTGAAACACTTAATTTGCGGGCCTATGTTTTTGCCTTAGTTTCATGAGGATCAAGTATCCGACCTTTTTTTTTGAAACACTCTGTATTTAAATACACACTTAGACAATTTTTTATTCCCTTTTTATATAAAACAATAAACGAACGCTTGAATTTGGCTGATTGATATATTGAAATTACGGAATGAAATTTAAATTCTTGAAAAAAAACTATTATTGAATCTACACCAAATTCAATAGGCTCTTCAATTTACCCATTACTGTTTATATTACAAATTTAAAATTGGTTAAATCCTTTAACAACGATCAATTGAAAGTTTTTACGTTACATTTTCTCAAATTCGTTTCTTTCATTAAACCTTAAAGGTATCCAATAATTACTTTGATATCTTAAACATAAATAAAGGGAACAAACCCCCAATCAAGAATGATCGATTAAATTGATTACTGAGTCATCCACAGATAAATTGATAATACGGACAAGAATTCGCAGGTATTGGGCCAAGTACAAGAAAACATATATTAACGGAACACTTACATTGGAATAAAGTTAGATGGCGAGGCCAAGAAGTTGAAATCAATCAAGGAAGACCTCCCAAGCCGCAGGGCTCGGCATATAGTTAGTTGAAACTTGAATAGTGCTTGAAGGGCCTCGATCTACTCGTCATCTGCTTCTATACCAGGTACGGTGCTTAAATGACCAACCGCTTCAGACGGAAGTGAGGGTCTCCAACAACATACTTGATCATAACCAGAGACGGCAAAGATACTGAGTAGGTACTGATGCTAACAAATTAGTTGAATGGGATGATATAGCCCCTTTGTTGAGGAATTGTTCCTTGATATCGCGTTCATGACTCGTTGATCCATTTCATAGCAAATGGCCGCTCGGTATTAGCAGGTGAAAGGGTGTCGGCACTCGTGTAAGTACCTATCGGTGAATTTATCCCAAGTTTACAAACTTGTACGTCGAACCAGTTTCGGGTTTGTTTCGTATCCGTATCCGTAATTTAAAGTGGAACTTACAATTAAAGCTAAAATTAAAACCCTAAAAGAAATCAAAGGTAACCCTCCTTCGTTGATGTCACAAAATTTACGTATCTCTTAAATAAGAGGGCTAATTGTAGATGAAGTAACAATTGTCGATGGAAAAATTGACAAAAAGTGTAACTAAATATGGTTCTCGACAGAAGGAGGAAAATGAGTCTACAACCACTGTGATAAATTACCTTGTTAAATTCCAATAATGGAGGAAGCCATCTATTCGAAAGTTACGAGGATCTTTCAGCAAGTAAATATACCGTATAAGCAATGGAGAAAATTAATTGCTGCAATATCTTTACATTGCAATGAAACACCTTGAAGTGGCTTACTTCCTTCACAAATTGCGAAGTCTTGCAAAGAATTTTCTACATTGGAAAAGCTTATTCTACTATTGAAAACCTTCACAACAGTTAAAGGTACTTACCTAATATATTGAGCGTTTTTTAACTATTTCGATCAAAAAACCATTTGAAAATATTGCTCTGAATAATATATATTTTAGGAAACTTACAGTAATGTTAATTTTTTCAGCGCATTATCCATCTGTCTGTCCGCCTGCCTGTTGCTAGAGAGTGCAATGATAGGACAGTTTGGCAAAAAATACATGATTGCAAATGGTTCCTGTACGACGTAATATCATATTCATTTCGTCCCTTCATACTACTTTTTACTGAAAAGTTCTCTTGAACAGAAGAGTTTGTAATCGATTGACTGTATCTCGTCATAAAAAGAATTAGAAAAATGTAAAAATGCGCTTTGCAAGGTTTTGTTTTAGATACCTACATTTAATTCTTGTGCGTTTTTGATACAACACAATGACATCAAGAACTTTAGAAGTATTAGTAATCTTTCTAAAATTTTGAGAAAAGGATTACCCTTTTTGGTACAATGAAACTCTTCAAGAAGCTGGGGTGTACATTTTTGGCACAGTAAGGAACGTGGAAATCTGTAGATTTTATCGAGTCATTGCTGTCATTCACTTTTTGCAAAAATTTCAGGCTTCGACTTCGGACGAATGATACTTTTCTTTATAATAAAAGCCCCATTTAGGCTTTAGCATATTTTCGGAGCTATGTGTGTAAGAGCTCTTGACATTTACTATTTAGTGTAGTATGACTTTACTAAAAGTGATTTAATAGCTTTTTTTCAATCCAAGTAGTCCATGAGATTGGTTAGTGTGACCCAATGGGCAAATTTGTAGCTTGTGTGCTCAGGATTTCTATGTAACTATTGATTATATTAACGCTTTCTATTTTTTTCAGAAAAATAAGAGGAATGTAGAAAGCAATAGAATGGGAACGAAAGTAGAAGAAACTATAATAAATCATTGTGTGCACAAATCATATTTTGGATGCTAATATAATTTTGTAATGCGTTTTCAGCGAAATGGAAAAAGATTCCGAATTATCTACCTGTTACTTGTTACATTAAAAATAAAACCTAAACTTAACCACAAAAAAATTTAAAAAATTGTTTTTCGAGCAATATATATAAATTTTTTAATTGCGCACGCCACGTTGCTGCTAAAGTGATTAAAATAAAATTGCACAAGTGGTTATTGATAGTTATATAATGAAATGCTTGAACTTTATTAATAAACGCAGTATTAAGAATATGTGGGGTCCTAAGATGTTTCGTTTCTCAAAAATGTCAATTCGAAAGATGTTTGTGATAGACCGGAATACCTATATCTTATAGTTTTCTCATTATAGCAATATCTTTTCAGTTTTTGTAAAATAAATTTATAAGTATACTTGTTAAAGCGTAAATGAGGATTGTGATTGGACAAGCTTATTTTTATCTGTGATTTACAATTTGTATTACTTACTTTAAGCGAATACGATGTACAGTGTTAAAATTTATTGTAAACTTAAGTTAGCTTTTTTGCATTCATTAATGTTAGAGTGTATGTATCTTTCTTCCAAAAGTGGATACGTCACTATGTACCTACTGATAATTGAAATAGAAATTTTAGTCACTTCATTTCAGACAGCAACTTTGTTTGAAGGGAACAAGCGGATTACCTATGCCTAAAAAACACACTATTAAATACGACTTGCTCCCGAAAGGATTAGAAACTTTTTCCATCTGTATGTGTACCTATTCGTTTCCCCGCCACTAAGTGGCGATCTTACACATTTTTAAAAGTTTCGATCCTTTAATTGCCATTTCCCCTTTACGTTCTAGGCAAAATATTGTTTAATAAAACTGAAATAACTGTTAGAAACATGTAAGCGGCTTTTAATTAGCTGCATTTGATCAAATCCCAATTTCTTTCTACGCAAATTATGCAAGGCAGACTCGGCGCATCACTGGCAAGAAGAAAAACGAATAAACAAAGCAATCAACAAAAAGCACCATAGATTACTATACATTGCTTGGCTTGACCATGGACAATCGCTTAACAATATTATATTTTGTATAAATGCTAAAGCTAACGCCGAAATTGTAAAATTGATTTAAAAGACAGTGAATAAATTTTCATTATACTATCGTACATTTTGTACCATCGAATAGTCAGTTCTGCCCATTATGTTATTATTATATGCAGCATAGACATATCAGAATTGTAAATGTTTGTTAATAAAACTAATTGTTCCATTTTGGGACCTTTTGATTTGCTTTTCAGGTTAAGACAACAATCAACCATGGCTCCAAAAGGGTGCTCATTTCACTTAGATGTGTATTATGTAATTATAAGTAAAACTATGAAGATTAAGCTTTTGCAGTACAATACTGAGATTAAATATTGATAATATTATTGAAGAACTATAAAGAATGTGGCACATATATTAGCCATGGACACAGTTACCATCGCTGAACAATGATTCCAATTT